GGGCAGGGTGCGCGCGGAGCGGGGATGGAGCGCAGACCGCGCGGTGTCACTGACAGCCGCTGCCTTCTCCATCCCCAGGAGGTGGGGGCCGCGAGCCCGGCCTGTGCAAAGCTCCTGCTCCCCCGCATCCATAAACACAGGTGATTCTGGTATGGTGGCGAGCTGAGTTCAGAATGGCCTCGTCGTATTTCAGAAAAACCTCAAGCCTACAACAGTATTCCATTTTTAATAATTATTCCTGTCGCTAGCCCTATACAAATGAAAGAATATCCTCAGGGCAAAAAGAGAAAATATAAAAAGAAGAAACAGGGCGTTTGCACATCTTTCATATGCAATTTCTACTCCCTTTGTACCCCAAATGCCTCTCTGTAGGACCTAAGTTTCTGGACTGCACTGAGCAGTTAACTAATCTCATGGGTGCACTTTCCTTTTCAGAAGGGCACCAAAAAGCCACCCCTTTGTTTTGGAATGAGTTTAATATGTACATGATTCTGATATCTGTTGTGCCAACAAAGAAGAGTGGTGAGATTATGGGGTGGTCTGTGATTCCCAGGGAATTCATTCCGTAAGCTGAGAATGGCTTTCCGAAAATTCTGTCTTCTACCAGAGAGGGTTTTATCCTCACTGGAGGCTGAAGTGGTTGCCTGTCTAAAGCTCTGGTCTGCCATATATTTGACAGATACCTTTAGATCAACAGGTCTTTGAAAATGGAGCCATAACTTCATGAGATATCCCTAGGAGACAGCCAGACAGTTCCTTGGTTGTTGGTGTTGCTAACACAATATTCTGTGTTACTCTGTCCCAGCTGGATTTTCAAAAGTATTAAAGGTGTTTTTGTCTGGTAAACTGCATTTCTGTAGTTAGCTGTAAGATAGTAACACTATGAATAACTAAAGGTCATTGCTGACAAACACTGAGTTTCTTAGATTACGGGAAAGTGTAGGAAGCATTGCTTCCAAATGCTATATAATTCTGCAGGTGCAAATTTCATGGTTGTGTTTTATATAGTATTTTTAATGGCTGTAGTACAAGGTTTTTATATTGCAATATTATGTTTAAAAGTGGGATTAAGTGTCTTGCTCTGTCCTGCAAACGTTTCATGCTTCATGTTGGGATTATTGTGAAGGCATTTCCCGTGGTTTTCTCTGTGTACAAGTATGTGTAAGATCTGGCCTTAAGGCGTTTCCTGGAAGTTAATCACCAAGCTGAGAAAGTGTATAGCTCAAGGTGAGAGGTCTCATGAAATCTTCAGCCGCCAAAGGAGTGACAAGGTCACCTACATATGAAGACACTGAGCAAATGCTTTATAAAATAAATGTTTTGTAGCTGTTTGCCTGGCATATGCGCACGGAGGTTTTCTTCTGTTCTTATCTGACTCGTGATATTTTATTTCTGCGTCAAGGTCTACATTTCCAGTTTGGCTTCTGACAAATTAATTTTCTGCTTGCTATAACAGTGTCTATATAACTGTAACAAATATTTAACAATCTAGCAATCTAAAGATTGCCATGACAGAGAACGTATTTGATGTTGTTCCGATGCATACCTTCTGTATAAGGTGCTGTTCAGATACAGACAGGCACAGTCTTTCACTCCAGCTGGAAAATCTCAAAGTTACCAGTCACTGCAACTCACAGCTGCGATGTGGTATCTGCTTGTAGGTATATTCCATGTTATGCCAATAGGTTTTATTTAGCATTAAGACCCCCAAGTGAAACTAAGTTGATAATTAAGCTACTAAATAGTGGGTCAGCACTGTAGTTTCATAGATGAAAGTAAAAATTCAGCCTTTTAAATATGCAAAATCTGGGAATTTGCCAAAATCTGGGAATCATGCTTTGGTTCTTGCAGACCTCTGTGCTGCTCTTAGCTTCCCCATCGTTTCCCTTAGCAACACCATTTCTTTTCTCTATAGCGGAAATTAGTTTTATCAGCTATGTTTTGATTTTGCCAGTATTGCAGGTATCTTTTTCTTTTCAGTATATTAACAGAGTCATCAAAGAAAAAATCACATAATAATTTTTATTTCTTTCTACTTTTGGTCTGATATGCCATGGTGCACTGTTGTTTTGTTGGGGGGTTGTTGTACATTTCCCTTGGTAATGGTATTTTTCTCTGGTGAAGCCAGGAAAACAAGAATCATCTCGGTTGCAAGTCAGTAGTTCACAGAAGCATGAATATTCAATACTTCTAGTTTGTTTTTCATGACATTTTCTTAGGAGTGATTAATAGCCTTGTAGAAAGAGTATATTAATAAATCTGTTAGCAAGTGACCATTTACGCCCATAACTCAAATGCACAGGGCTGATCCAGGCATACTCTGACACTCTGGGGAAAGCTGTTAGGTTCTCTTTCACAGTGCATTTTCCTCTTCTTTATAGTGGTAGAGTTTTTCCTCTAAGCAGTAGTTCAGTTTTCTAGCGAACTTAATGGTATCTTGAATTCTAAGCATATCTCAGTAGCCTCCCATCTTAGTTGCTGCCCTTTAACAGCATCAGTGGGTTCAACCAGTTTTCTGTTTGTTGAACATGCAGATGCCTGATGTTAAGGGGAAAACTGAGAGGGTATGATCCTACATCAAGATGCTGCTGAA